AAAGGGAAGATTAGATATTGGTCTATAGTTGGCTAACACCTCTGGATCCAGGGTGGGTTTTTTTAGGAGAGGTTTAATTACAGCTACCTTAAAAGACTGTGGTACATAGTCTGTTAATAAGGATATATTGATCATATCTAATATATGAGTGTTAACTAAAGGTAAGACCTCCTTAAGTAGCCTAGTTGGGATGGGGTCTAAGAGACACGTTGATGATTTAGATGAAGAAATCACTGTGGGCAATTCTTGAAGAGAAATCGGGGAGAAGCAATCGAAATATATATTAGGTCTTACACCTGTGTTTGAGGTTAGATAGGTACTATCTGAGGACAGGAGGTCATGAATTTTGCCTCTAATAGTTAGAATTTTGTCATTAAAAAAGCTCATAAAATCATTACTGCTAAGGGCTAAAGGAATACAAAGCTCAAAAGTGCTTTGACTCTCAGTCAGCCTGGCTACAGTGCTGAAAAGAAACCTGGGGTTATTCTTGTTTTCTTCTATTAATGCTGAGTAATAGTTTGCTCTGACATTGCGGAGGCCCCTCTTATACGTTTTGAGACTGTCTGCCCAGATTAAACGAGATTCTTCCAGTTTAGTTAATCGCCAATTCCTTTCAAATTTTCGCGATATTGGTTTTAACTTACGGGTTTAACTGTGTCCACAAAATCAAATGCTCTGCATGTGTCTTTTTAGCCATGCTTCTGATTACAATTGTGAGAAGTTGTGATGGACAGATACACAGCCATTTAACAATCAAACCACAAAACCAAACATATATTTATCTGTGAGTTCTTCACATTTCTTGGTTTTCTGTGTGGTTTTGGCCACATTTCCTCTCACCTTTCTCTTGCAACTCTCCCTCAAACCTGAACGCTAACACCTACACTGTAGCTACGTGTGGCAACGTGGGGTGGTGCTTTTATATTATAAAGGGGCTGTAACGGAATGACACCAATTGCAAGCCAGACAACGTCACCTAGGGACTTTCACCCAAGGAGTTTTACCCAGTTCTAAGCAATAAGGCAAACACAGGTTCAAGCACTACAAGACAGAGACGTGGCTCAAAAGCAAATCAAGATTTATTTATTAAGAATTATATAAGCAAAAATAATACTATTAAACTGGAAGTGTCTGTAGAGGGAAAAGAAAGAATTAGTAATGGGCAATGAAGGCAAGTCAAAGTTACGGAGGGATGTATGAAAATTTATTACAATTTATTCTCTTAATAACTTTTTGTTTAATTAATGAAAACACTTCCAGAGTAGATGATTAAAACTATCAAAACGGGGAGGGGGGAGTGAGTGGAAGCTAGCAAGGGGGAGGCAAACTACCAAAGGAAGTGTCCCAGGAGTGCACTTACCCACCACTCGTGAACTCACAGAAAACACATGGCAAACAGGTGCAGACTATCGTGTCCCAGTGCCCTTATCACTACAACAGAAAGGTGCTGGGAACCACCCAGGGTGCCTAGCCTCCACCGCTAGCCAACAACCACTGCACTGTAAGGAAAAAAAAAGAAAATGTTACCCAAGAAATGGCTAAAACTGAACCAGTTGGTTCAGGCTAAAGGGCAAATTTTAATAACAATTTCAATAGAATGTCATAATTCAAAAGTAATGGCTAACTTAAAGTAAACTAAAGATGAGCAACCTGGAACAAAACAGGACCTAACAAAACCAAAGCTAACAAAACAGACAAAACACTCATCTAAAACAAAACAGCAGCTGATTGTGTCTGAGCAGGTACTACAATTACCCTGATGTCCTCCAATCAGTTTGGAACAATTCACCACTACAAAAGAAGCAAATACAGTGTTAACACATTTTGTGGTTTGTGGAAGTTAAACATTGTTTAAAAAGTTAACAAACCTCAAATCAATTTCAATGGACACCAAGACAACCAGGCCATCCGTGCAAAACAGGCAGTAAACTCTTTAATTTTTAATTTAATTTTATATACTTTATTAATCCCCGAGGGGAAATTAAATTTTTTCACTCGGTTTGTCAATTACACACAGGTCCGAACACACACATGCACAAACAGGACCTATACATGCACTAAGTGGAGAGATGTCAGAGTGGGCTGCCCATGACAAGCACTCAGAGCGGTTGGGGGATTCGGTGCCTTGCTCAGGGGCACCTCGGCAGTGCCCAGGAGGTGAACTGGCACCTCTCCAGCTACCAGTCCACGTTCCATATTTTGGTCCAGACGGGGACTTGAACAGGCGACCCTCCAGTTCCCAACCCAAGTCCCTATGGACTGAGCTACTGCCGCCCCCAACACAAACACAATGTAGCTTCTGTTAAAATAAAGGTCACTACTCAAAGTAAAACAGGCTAAAACGACCTCCAGGCCACATTACCCACCTCAGAGACATGACCATTTGGCAGCCACCAGGCACAGACAAGGAGAAAGGCAGCCTTCTGACCACACGGTCAGACAAATACCTCAACCGGAAGCCAGCCTTGATTCGGCCATTTTGGTAGTTCTCTGTTGTCAGCCATTTTGTTTTGTAGGCCAAACGGCTACTTGATCACCACACCCGCCTTTGTCTTTCTCTTTTCTCTCTCGCACACACACACATATACACACCAAGCTTGTATATAGTTAGAATTTGTATGTTTTGGTTTGCTCTGCTAATTTGTGGATAAATATAATTCTTTGGCATCATGCCTGCTGTCTGTTTAATGTTGCACAAGGGTGAATGAATAGTCAACCTCTGCTGCGTCAAGAACTCCGAAATCCTTCAGGCGTTACTGTTAATTCTGGTTGTTGTCATTAATTTAATTATTAATCAAACTCCAAATTAATAGTTTAGTCTATTTTATGAGACTGATATCTTTAACTGGCTATCATTTTTCCCTTTACGGGAATGGTGCCCCACGAGGTGATTTAATGTTAATTAAGTCACATTATTTAACATAATTATTAAGTATTAATAATAATTATTAATTATTTCCGATAGCCAATTTAACCCCAACATATTTGGTGCCATCGTGTGAGGTAAATATATGTTGATTCCCAACAAATGCTTGACAAATTTCAATAATTGTGTCAATTTTTAAATCTTATATTAAACCTTGAATTAAATCAGGGTTAAGACACAAAATATGTCACATTGTTTCACTTGCAGGCAAAATGAAAACAGTATACAGTCCCCATTAGTTTTTTTTTATCTTATTTCATTTCATTTCATTATTTTGGCATTAGTTAAACCCTTTGGATTTTTAAAAAAAAATCAAAGTAAACTCTATTTTCCAAGTGGTCAGTGTTTGTTTTTTTCCAGAAGCAAATATAAAATGCTTTCACTGTTAAGTCTTCATAACAAATTGTGAAAATTATTGGATTTAAAGTGTGGTAAAAGATCAACATGAGCAAGGAAAACCAAGCAATATGAAATTACTGTCATTTCAGTCTCAGTAGTTATTGCCTTAAAAGTATTTTATTTATGTCCACTATGCTGCACATGCCGAAAAAGAAAAAATAGGGTGCCCAGTTGCTTAGTGAGTAGAACAGGCATCCCATATACAAAAGCACTGTCCTCACCGCAGCAGCCGTGGGTTAGATTCCAGCCTGCGGCCGACTATCCTATCTAATATAGGCAAAAAGCCAACAAAAACAAGACAGACATAAAACTCATTTTTTCATACTCAATGAATCCTGCAATGAGTGCAAATAGTTATTTAAAAAGCAACAAATCACAAGTAAACATTTAAAAATGAAACAGAAAATACGCCATTTTGAAAGAAAAGCAAAAACAAAACTTTTGAAAAACCTGAAAATGGTTCACCTCAAAATTCAAACTCCCTCCTCCTTCAAGGTAAATCTTTCAAACTGCATGTCTGAGCGGTAGCACAAATCTTCTTCATTCTTTAATTAAAAACATGCAAAAAGAATATCACTCAAAGCAACTAACATAATTGTATTTTGCATCATGATAATCTATAAAGCCTTAATATAATAAGAGCATAAAAAGTCACACAATGGTTGCAAACAGACAGAACATGATGTCAGAACGACACGTTAAACATATTTGAAGGTTATCCAATTACAAAATTGTTACCGTTATCAGCTGTGAAATCGAAGCAAAATAAATGTTTACAACAGTGTAACAAACAAAAATGATGTTAATTTTTAATCAGCAAATCCAGCAGATGTTAATTTCTCACTAAGGTCCTGACATCAGCGTAGGTCGTCTCTCCCTCTGCTGCTTTTACATTCCTTCTGTCTGCTCGGCCAGTTTTCCTCTTGATGAAGGTCGGTGTAGAATAAGTCAACGAGTCCTCGTCTCTCTGAGGAAATATATAGAAAAGTATAATGAGACGACAGATTTTAATCTCTGTACATGTCGGGTAAAAATATGCCATTTACTTTTCCAGCTACACCTTTTCTTTATATACTTTACCTGCTGACTTGCAGCATTTGTTTGCAGAGTGACGGCAGCTTTATCATGAAATAAAAACAAAGATTTAAGATAAATGATGCTGTTTGGTAATTTACACAAATCATTATTCTAAATCCGGTGAAGTTAGATTTTGGACTGATGTATGAGAAGCTTTAATTACCATTGCAACGATAACAAGTTTTCTTCTTGATGGTATAAATCAGGAAGGCAATAACAGTCAGACTTAAAGCCAAAGCCGCAAATAACAGAAACAGAGGTGTGTTGGCCTTCTGCAGATCCCACATGTTGAGCTCTGAAACAACATCAGGAGCAAATAATGAAAGTTAACAGCTTTTCTGACAAGATGTTACAATATAATGGAAACTAAACTTTTGTAATACATTATTTTAATCACTTCTACTGGATTCAAAATTAATGATTATTAAAGATTAATTTGAAAATGCATTTACCTTTAATGTCCACTTTTGTTCCATTTCCAAATAATATCTCTCCACATGTGGCCACAGCACAGTAATAAGTCCCGGCATCAGAGGAGCTGACGTCCTTAGAGAAGCTGTAGATACATTTCTGTGGAGAGTGAGCTTCAGGACTCTTCTCACATCCATCACTACTGTTTACTTGGGCATAAATGAAACTGGGATGAGATTCATCTGATGTGGCTCTGAACCAATAAACTCTGTGTTCTTCTGAACATGTTTTCTTCTCAGAGTCAGAGAGGACTGAACACTGCAGAGTCACTGAGTCTCCTGGACGGACTGGATCAGATGCAAAGTCTTGAGTGACGGCAGTGATATCAGGTTCTGGTCCTGTCAAGATAAAATGACATGTTTTACTCAATAAAAATAAAAGTAATGAAAATTTTAAATTCATATGCTTTAAACCTTTTCTATACAATATGGAGATATAACTTGAATCATAATGAGTTATGGAAACACATATACATGTAGAAAAATCATATTATGTAAACTGATGGTAAACATGTTGGACTAAAGCATGGTTATTTTTGTCAAGTAATTTAAAATGTCGATTTACCTTTAACTCTCAGAAGTGTTGATTTGGAAAATGTCATGTCCAGTAGATTTACTTTTAAACAGTAGTAAAGTCCAGTATCACTCAGCTTTGTCTCATGAATATGCAGAATAAATGATCCAGGCTCTTGTTTTGCTGTAATGTGAGGAGTCTTGCTAACATCTTTAGAATCAAAGACAAATGTTCCTCCCAAGAATTCAGGTTGTTTTCCAGAAACAAGCCTGATCCAAAACAAGGTTTCCCTCAAGTTAGATTTCGGGCGAGTACAATTCAAAGTCACATCATCTCCAACTTCAACAGTTGTTGTTTCAAAGACGTGATCGTCTGTGCATCCTGAACATAAAATTAAATGGAGCAGTGATTAATAACCGAAACAGAAAAAATGTATATAGTGTACTAAATTACTGTAAGAACATAATATTTTAAATGTATATCTGGAGTAAATCTGACTTCTGTAAATATACTTACGTCCCACTCTGAGCATCAGCAGCAAATAAAATATGATCACCATTTTCATGTTAATCCACTTGTAGCTGCAGCTAAATTAGAGCGTATTTGAAGATGATTCTCCTTAATGTAATCATGGAAAGTTGGAGGGAACATTTCAGAGCAATCTGATTGGCCTCTCGTTATGTTTGTATCTCACTGTATCACCACAGTGGAAATAAAATCAACCATCTTTCCAACCTGAAACAACACAACAGCACACTTTTGTTTCATGTTTCAGGGTGGGTTTCTATAACTGACACTGAGAGTAAACACAAGGTAAAGCTGGGGGTGCACTTTTCTGGAGAGGGCAATAACAAAAAAAGGTAGAATTTGAAAATACCTCTCACCTCTCTGTCCCTCCAGACAAGTATGTGTATATGCAATGTTTCATACTGTAACCCATTGTTTCCCATACACTGACCTATTTAATCTTATTTCATTCTCTCTGTTTATCAGACCACAGATTAGACAAGAATTAGCTACCACACCCCGCAGTCCCTACTCCTTGTTCCCCACTGCTGTGGACTGCTTCGATGGGGGTAGAGGGGACAGTGGCTCCAGGAACAGACCTGCGGTCGTCAGCTGCAGCAGTTCTAATTCAGCGTTCACAGCAGGCTGGTGGCCGATGGCAGCACCAGATCTAACCTCTGTAACAGCAGCAACAGAGTCTGGAAGTCGAAACTCAGCCCGTCACAGGCTGAGTTTGAGTTGCTGTATTCTGGCTCACAGGATGCAGACTGCTGGTATACGCCTGCCATTGACCTCCGAGCTCAGATGGAACTGTTTTCCCCTTCTCCTTCCTGCATGGTACTCGTACTCGTCCTCCGCTTATCCGGGTCCGGGTCACGGGGGCAACAGCCTCATCGAAGAAGCCCAGACAGGCCTCTCCCCAGCCACTTCCGTCAGCTCTTCCGAGGGAACCCTGAGGCATTCCCAGGCCAGCCGGGCATTGTAATCCTTCCAGCGTATCCTGGGGCGGCCCCAAGGTCTCGAAACACCTCCCACGGGAGGCGTCCGGAAGGCATCCTTACCAGATGCCTGAACCTCCTCAACTGGCTCCTCTTGATGTGGAGGAGCAGCGGCTCTACTCCGAGTCCCTTCCGGATGTTCGAGCTCCTCACCCTATCTCTAAGGCTGAGCCCAGCCACCCTGCGGAGGAAACTCATTTCTGCCGCTTGTACTCGCGATCTCGTTCTTTCGGTCACTACCCAGAGCTCGTGACCATAGGTGAGGGTTGGAACGTAGATCGACCGGTAAATCGTGAGCTTCGCTTACTGGCTAAGCTCCCTTTTCACCACAACGGACCGGTTAACCACCTGCATCACTGCTGACGCCACCCCAATCCGCCTGTCAATCTCCCACTCCATCCTACCCTCACTCGTGAACAAGATCCCGAGATACTTAAACTCCTCCACCTGAGGGAGGACCTCCCCCCCCGACCTGGAGTGGGCAATCCACCCTTTTCCGGCTGAGGACCATGGCCTTAGACTTGGAGGTGCTGATTCTCATCCCAGCCGCTTCACACTGCGAACTGTCCCAGCAAGAGCTGGAGGTCACTGTTCAATAGAGCTAGGAGGACCACGTCATCCGCAAAAAGTAGGGACGAGATCCTACCGTCACCGAAACCGACACCCTCCACCACTCGGCTGCGCCTAGAAATTCTGTCAATGAAAGTTATGAACAGAACCAACTTACTTACTTAGCACGCGAACCAGACTCGCGCTCCTTCGGTACAGGGACTGGATGGCCCTTAGCAGGGGGCCACCAACCCCGTACTCCTGGAGCACCCCCCACAGGATGCCCCTGGGGACATGGTCGTAAGCCTTCTCCAAATCCACAAAACACATATGGACTGGTTGGGCGAACTCCCATGCCCCCTCCAGCATCCTGGCAAGGGTAAAGAGCTGGTCCACGGGGGGGAGAGAGAGGGGGAGAGACATGCAGCAAAGGGCCACAGGCTGGACTCGAACCCGGGCCGCTGCGGCAACAGCCTTGCACATGGGGCGCCTGCTCTACCACTAAGCCACCGACGCCCCATACCTCGGCGACTTCTGCCCCAGAAATTGGACGAAGCTCTGTTTCCTCACTGGAATACGTGTTGGTGGGATTGAGGAGCTCCTCAAAGTATTCCTTCCACCGCCTGACAATGTCCCCAGTTGACGTCAGAAGCTCCCCGCCCCCACTGTAAACAATGTGAGCAAGTTGCCGCCTTCCCCCCCTGAGGCGCTGGACAGTTTGCCAGAACCTCTTTGGAGCCGATCGATAGTCTTTCTCCATGGCCTCACCGAACTCCTCCCATGCCCGAGTTTTTGCCTCTGCGACTGCCGCTGCTGCGCTCCGCTTGGCCTGCCGGTACCCTTCAGCTGCTTCCGGAGACCCACAGACTGACCATGCCCTGTAAACCTCCTTCTTCAGCCTGATTACCACCGCGACTGGCCCCAGCGGTCTTGCGGCCACAGCTCGCAACAGCCGCCTCGACAATGGCAGAGCGGAACAAGGCCCATTTGGACTCAATGTCCCTCTCTGCCCTCAGGACGCGGTCAAAGCTCTCCCGGAGGTTGAAGATCATCTTGACAGGTTCTTCTGCCAGGCATTCTCAGCAGACCCTCACTGCTCGTTTGGGCCTGCCAGGTCTGCGCGGCGTCCTCCCCTGCCATTTGATCCAACTCACCACCAGGTGGTGATCAGTTGACAGCTCTGCTCCTCTCTTCACCCGAGTGTCCAGAACATATGGCCACAGGTCAAATGATACGACTACAAAGTCAATCATTGACCTGTTACCTAGGCTGTCCTGGTGCCACGTGCACCGATGGACATCCTTATGTTTGAACATGGTGTTTGTTATGGCCAAACTTCTACTCTTACAGAAGTCCAATAACTGTACACCACTCTGGTTCAGATCGGGCAGGCCGTTCCTCCCAATCACGCCCCTCCAGGTCCTGCTGTCATTGCCCACATGAGCATTGAAGTCCCCCAGCAGAACATGATACGTTTTTCAAAATCACAGCAGTAACTTGAAACTAGACTCATAGTCAGAACTATCTCCACACATCATTTTAGTGCTGTGTGTGAAACTACAATAACTACCTCCAAGCTACAGTAGCAACGAGCCCGGTCTCACTTCGAAGTTGTTGAAATCTGGCGGTTGGGCAGTGACTTGTGGTGTCAGAAACCAACAAAAACAGCCGTCCTGTAACATCGGCATGATATGCTGCCAATGCTGTTATAGTTTAAATGGCGCCCAGCAGCATCAGGGGGAAATGCGCCAGGACAAGGACGAAAGTTAAGGCTGCAAAAGTCCCACTGGGACAGGTGGGAGGGGAGGGGTGGTGGATGGGTCCAACAAACACCAACTTTCACCCAAGAAAACAGTGTTCATATCCCTTAAGGTTATAAAGGTTATAAAGCCAAACCCTGTTCTTTTTTTCTAAACCCAACCATGTGCGCTTGTTGTTGAAGGAAAAAACATAAAGTTAATTCATGGTGTTGTGCTGACATAGTGCTTTTATTTTGAAAGAGACTGCATGTAAATTTTAAATTTCCTGTGAAAACAGAAATGTATTTTGAAAGAAGACAATGCATGTAACAGGCAGAACTTGACCCAGAACGTCAACAACCAACACACCCAGGGTACCTTGCACGTTGTATGTGTACATGGAAAGTCCATGACCAAATGTCAATATGTGACGAGGTCGGAGTGAGAATGTGTTGTAGCAACCTACACTCTGAAACATCTTCAAATGTTTTATGTTGCATTTTCTTTTGCAGGGATTTATCCATGTTAATGCCAAGGCTCGCCTTCCCACATGCAAACATTCCGCCAAAACAAGTTTTCTCCAGACACCATTTTGCAAGAGCTCTGTCTTTACATCATCGCACTTTTAGTTGTCTTGGTCCAGACCTTTGAATCTTCCCACTTCATTGAGTTAACTGGTTTGTCTGGCATCGTGACATGAAACAGAGGTTTCTCGGTTAAAATCAATAGATCCACCAACCATTGTAGAGGTATTAACGATCAGCCAATCAGCACCATGGGTGGGACTAATGCCATTGTCAAGCTGTTGTAACACTGTGTGCCTGAAGCTATGAGGAGTAATACAAGAAAGGTGACCACTATAGTCAAGACAGACGCTGCTATCGAGGCTGTTCTAAATCTACGTCTGTTTAATATTTCGCCCGATATCTTTGTTTTTACGTTGCTTCGCTCCACTCTTAAAATTCAAGTGAAATCAGTATGTTGGCATGGCGACACATCAGTTGAATACTAAGTAATGTTTGATTCAGGCGGATACACTGGTCAAGTGACAATTCTGTCTGATATCAGTCAAATCTTGTAGTGACAGTCAAATGATTCAAAAAACATAAATTCAGAGTTAACTTTTATCTCAATGGCCAAATATTCATGTTTAAAAAGGGCACTGACACCACTGGCCTTTAAATATATCACATGTAATTTATCTGTAAATATATAGAACTATGTCTCTAGGCCCAATAAAAAATCCTACATTGTTGTTACCACCCAGTTAAACAGGAATTTATGGATCAGTTTAATTTGAGTTCATATAAAAAGACGTATCCAGCCATTTGCCACAGTGACAAAGACAGAGGAGCCATCTTAAATACTGAGCAAGCCAGCCAACTGAGATGCTCCACATCATCAGTGATGACCCGCCCACTCTGCCTGTCAGTCACATCAGCAGGAAGAGCACAGCGTACAGAGGAGGGCTGTTAAACCATCCATCCTCTATACTCACTTCACTTCTTTTCAGAGAGCTGCTGACAGACAGCAGCAGAGCGACACTCTCACAGTATCACAGGAACATTCACCTGGAGCTGATTTAGAGTTTCTGACCTACATGTTTTTATCTGAGGGAGAGAAGCCATGTGACCCTGGGAGAAAACCACTAAAACAATCCTGTGTCAACAAACTGTATGGTTGACAGCATCTCTATAACATTAACAGGAACACCTGAGAATATTCTGCAGTCCAGTACAAAGATGTTTGGAGAAAGACAAAAGAAAGACAGGAAGCCCATCTATCTATAGGGCCAAAGCTGCTGAAACATTTGTTAGACCAGCAGGTTGTGGTTTGTGGTTTTCATCAGGGTCAACATATTGTTGACAACGAGCCAAAACACACTCTGTAATTTCACACACAAACACACATTTATATTTACCACTGACAGATAAATGCTGCATGGAAACTTCAGCATCGGTGTGGTCGAGGTTCAAACTAAGGTGTCAGTACAAAGAGGCTGTTCTACCTTTCTCACTCTGTGTTTCAGCCTCAGGACGCTGGGCTTTACTGCTGCTGTCAAAAGGAAAGTGGAATAGCATTCATAAAACAAAAATTTAGAGGAGAAGGTAAATGGTTCAGGAGGGTTGGACACAGGATCGTTTCTAGGATCCGCCCCCAAGATTTTTTTTTCTTTTACGAACCAGCTCTATTTTGATGCTTTCTATGCACTCTGGCATCTTTTTTACCCCTGAAAGATGTTTAAACATTTTATTTACAGATCAATTATGAATTGTGATGTCAAAAATGTTAATTATATTTTATTCCACCCAGCAGTATTTAAAGCATTTGAAATGAGCTCCACCTTCAATTGATTACCAGTGTGTTCTGTCTCTTGTACACAGTCACACAAAATGTGCTGCTCGAAAGACAAAGAGGACCAAAACTTGTGTTTGTGATTAACGATGTCGTGTTTGTTTTGAGGGATTTAATGCACAAACTTAATGACATGTTAGTAGTTCCAGGGCTTTTGAATTTTTTCATTATTAGGTCTATTCTAATGATTTAAAAATACACAAACACACACACACACACACACACACACATACAGACACACACACTTTTGTTGAACCTCTCAGCTGTTTGGTGCTTGTCATTGGTGGTAGCTGTCAGAAGGAGGAGGTGTTAATCACTCACTGGTCCCACCCTGGTGTTTTTGTCAAGAGCAGAGTTTGAAGTGTGATCTTTAGTTTTCCTGATTATTGACTCAGAGGTTTACTCACTAAAGTCTGTTCCAGTGTACATCACTTGGCTCAGTGATGGACTTACAGCCTGTCCACATAAATGGTGAATTAATCAATATATTAACATTTAAAATTAAATCAAAAACAAGCTTAAGCTCATCTTCCACAGTTTCAGATGCTTTTGGTTCCATTTTAAAAACACAAAACAAAGGGACATGATTTGTTCTTTAAATGAGCACAATAACATACACGTAAAAGTAAATCAATCATTTCAGTCTGTGAAACTAAAGTTAGCCTGCTGAAGCCTCTTGTATCTCTCCTCTCACTACACATCCTGTTGAAGCCCATCGTCAGGTCTGTTCTGAGTAAACAGCCTTGATGGTTGGTCAAAGGGAGGAGAAACGGCCCACCACAGCCTGTGTCTGTCAGTGTAGCTGTTGCATGTGGCTTTGCTTGACATGCAGAGGGTCTTTACAAAGTGCTGTGAGACCAGAGAGATGGAGGGGTATCTCCTTAATTTTTATTCTACAGTGTGCTTTTTCATCAACAAAGGAAGACTAACTGTGTCCACAAAATCAAATTCTCTGTATGTGTCTTTTTTAGCCATGCTTCTGATTACAATTGTGGGAAGTTGTGATGGACAGATACACAGCCATTCACAATCAAACCACAAAACCAAACATAAGTTTATCTGTGAGTTCTTCACATGACTTGGTTTTCTGTGTGGTTTTGGCCACATTTCCTCTCACCTTTCTCTTGCAACTGTCCCTCATACCTGAACGCTACCACCTACACTGTAGCTACGGATATTTCATAAGTCCTCTTTATCTCTTTGTAGTGTTGATTCGGACGCCAAATTGGGTTATGAAAACAAAACAACACAACCTCCAGGTCCAGGATGAGTTAAGCCCTCCAAGAAATGATGGTGGTTTTGGTAAGAGTGAAATATGTGTGTGAAACTGTCAACTTCATCATGAGAACAAAACATCAGGCCTAGCTGTTGATGGTCAGTAAATATTGGAGCTTCACTGTGTAAGAGTGTTGCTCAAAGAGAAGTTCCCATTAAACAGATACAACATGTTACCAGAGAATTACACACAGTGTGCCTGTCAAATCCCTGGGAAGTTCTCATGGTTAGAAACTTGATAAACACCTCTTTGTACGGTTATTTAAATGTTTGAGGAATTTCAATAATTGTGTCAATTTTTAAATCTTATATTAAACCTTGAATTAAATCAGGGTTAAGACACAAAATATGTCACATTGTTTCACTTGCAGGCAAAATGAAAACAGTATACAGTCCCCATTAGATGTTTATCTTATTTCATTTCATTTCATTATTTTGGCATTAGTTAAACCATTTGGATTTAAAAAAATCAAAGTAAACTCAACGTGGTCAGTGTTTGCTTTTTTCCAGAAGCAAATATAAAATGCTTTCACTGTTAAGTCTTCATAGGAAATTGTGAAAATCATTGGATTTAAAGTGTGGTAAAAGATCAACATGAGCAAGAAAAATCAAGCAATATGAAATTACTGTCATTTTAGTCTCATCAGTTATTGCCTTAAAAGTATTTTATTTATTTCTACTGTCTTAAAAACATTGAAAAAGAAAAACATAGGGTGCCCGGTTGCTGAGTGGGTAGAACAGGCATCCCATATACAAAGGCACTGTCCTCACCGCAGCAGCTGTGGGTTAGATTCCAGCCTGCAACCCTTTGTTGCATGTCGACCCACCTCTCTCTCCATTTCACACATAGACTATCCTATCTAATATAGGCAAAAAGCCAACAAAAAAAGACCAATCGCCAATCTCATCTTTTCATACTCAATGAATCCTGCAATGAGTGCAAATAGTTATTTAAAAAGCAACAAATCTCAAGTAAACATTTAAAAATGAGACAAAAAATACGCCATTTTGAAAGAAAAGCAAAAACAAAACTTTTGAAAAACCTGAAAATGGTTCACCTCAAAATTCAAACTCCCTCCTCCTTCAAGGTAAATCTTTCAAACTGCATGTCTGAGTGGTAGCACTAATCCTCTTCATACTTTAATTAAAAGACATGTAAAAAGAATATCACTCAAAGCAACTAACATAATTGTATTTTGCATCATGATAATCTATAAAGCCTTAATATAATAAGAGCATAAAAAGTCACACAATGGTTGCAAACAGACAGAACATGATGTCAGAAAGACACGTTAAACATATTTGAAGGTTATCCAATTACAAAATTGTTACCATTATCAGCTGTGAAATCAAAGCGAATTAAATGTTTACAACAGTGTAACAAACAAAAATGATGTTAATTTTTAATCAGCAAATCCAGCAGATGTTAATTTCTCACTAAGGTCCTGACATCAGCGTAGGTCGTCTCTCCCTCTGCTGCTTTTACATTCCTTCTGTCTGCTCGGCCAGTTTTCCTCTTGGTGAAGGTCGGTGCAGAATAAGCCAATGAGTCCTCGTCTCTCTGAGGAAATAAATAGAAAAGTATAATGAAACAACAGATTTTAATCGCTGTACATGTCGGGTAAAAATATGCCAATAACTTTTCCAGCTACATGTTTTCTTTATATACTTTACCTGCTGACTTGCAGCATTTGTTTGCAGAGTGACGGCAGCTTTATCATGAAATAAAAACAAAGATTTAAGATAAACGATGCTGTTTGGTAATTTACACAAATCTTTATTCTAAATCCTGTGAAGTTAGATTTTGGACTGATGTATGAGAAGCTTTAATTACCATTGCAATGATCACAAGTTTTCTTCTTGATGGTATAAATCAGGAAGGCAATAACAGTCAGACTTAAAGCCAAAGCAGCAAATAACAGAAACAGAAGTATGTTGGCCTTCTGCAGATCCCACATGTTGAGCTCTGAAATAACATCAGGAGCAAATAATGAAAGTTAACAGCTTTATTGACGAGGTATTACAATATAATGGAAACTAAACTTTTGTAATACATTATTTTAATCACTTCTGCTGGATTCAAAATTAATGATTATTAAAGATTAATTTGAAAATGCACTTACCTTCAACGTCCACCTTTGCTCCATTTCCAAATAATATCTCTCCACATGTGGCCACAGCACAGTAATAAGTCGCGGCATCAGAGGAGCTGACGTCCTTAGAGAAGCTGTAGATACATTTCTGTGAAGATCCAGCTTCAGGACTCCTCTCACATCCATCACTACTGTTTCCTTGGGTATAAATGACACTGGGATGAGATTCATCTGATGCGGCTCTGAACCAATAAACTCTGTGTTCTTCTGGACATGTTTTCTTCTCAGAGTCAGAGAGGACTGAACACTGCAGAGTCACTGAGTCTCCTGGACGGACTGGATCAGATGCAAAGTCTTGAGTGACGGCAGTGATATCAGGTTCTGGGAATGAAAAATGTAAAGATAAAATGATATGTTTTACTCACTTTAATAAAATTAAAAGTAATGAAAATTTTAAATTAATATGCTTAAAACCTTTTCTATACAATATGGAGACATAATTTGAATCATAATGAGTTATGAAAACACACATACATGTAGAAAAATCATATTATGTAAACTGATTTTAAACATGTTAGATTAAAGCATGGCTATTTTTTGTCAAGTAATTTAAAATGTCGATTTACCTTTAACTCTCAGAAGTGCTGATTTGGAAAGTGTCATGTTCAGCCTTTTTACTTTTAAACAGTAGTAAAGTCCAGTATCACTCAGCTTTGTCTCATGAATATGCAGAATAAATGATCCAGGCTCTTGTTTTGCTGTAATGTGAGGAGTCTTGTTAACATCTTCATAATCAAAGGCATATGTTCCTCCCAAGAATTCAGGCAATTTTCCAGAAACAAGCCTGATCCAAAACAAGGTTACCCTGGACTCAGATGTCTGGCGAGTACAATTCAAAGTCACATCATCTCCAACTTCAACAGTTGTCGTTTCAAAGACGTGATCGTCTGTGCATCCTGAACATAAAATTAAATGGAGCAGTGATTAACAACAGAGAAAGAAAAATGTACACACTGTACTAAATTACTGTAAGAACATAATATTTTAAATGTATATCTGGAGTAAATCTGACTTCTGTAAATATACTTACGTCCCACTCTGAGCATCAGCAGCAAATAAAATATGATCACCATTTTCATGTTAATCCACTTGTAGCTGCAGCTAAATTAGAGCGTATTAGAAGATGACTCGCCTTAATGTAATCATGGAAAGTGGGAGGGAACATTTCAGAGCAATCTGATTGGCCTCTCGTTATGTTGGTATCTCACTGTATCACCACAGTGGAAATAAAATCAACCATCTTTCCAACCTGAAACAACACAACAGCACACTTTTGTTTCATGTTTCAGGGTGGGTTTCTATAACTGACACTGAGAGTAAACACAAGGTAAAGCTGGGGGGGCACTTTTCTGGAGAGGGCAATAAAAAAAAAGGTTTCATACTGTAACCCATTGTTTTACCATACACTGACCTATTTGATATTGTTTCATTGTAACGCTCTCTCTTTCTGTTTCTCAGACCACAGGTGAGACAAGAATTAGCTACCACACCTCCTCCTCGCTCCCTGCAGCTGTGGACTGCTTCGCCAGGGGTAGAGGGGACAGTGGCTCCAGGAACAGAGCTGCGGTCGTCAGCCACAGCAGCTCTAATTCAGCGTTCACAGCAGGCTGGTGGCCGACAGCAGCACCAGATCTAACCTCTGTAACAGCAGCAACAGACTCTGGAAGTCGGGTCCGTCCAGTCCCTCGGCACAGGCTGAGTTTGAGTTGCTGTGGTCCGGCTCACAGGATGTAGACTGCTGGTATAAGCCTGCCATTGACCCCCGAGCTCAGATGGAATTGTCTTCCGCTTCTCCTTCCTGCATGGTACGGTTTTCAAAATCGCCGCAGTTATGTGAAACTAGACTCACATAGTCAGAACTATCTCCACACATCATTTTAGTGCTGTGCGTGAAACTACAATAACTACCTCCAAGCTACAGTAGCAATGAGCCCGGTCTCACTTCAAAGTTGTTGAAATCTGGCAGTTGGGCAGTGACTTGTGGTGTCACAAACCAACGAAAAAAGCCGTCCTTTAACATCGGCATGATATGCTGCCAATGCCGTTATAGTTTAATGGCGTCCAGCAGTATCATGGGGAAATGCGCCAGGACAAGAACGAAAGTTAAGGCTTCAAAAGTCCGACAGGGGCAGGTGGGAGGGGAGGGGTGGTGGATGGGTCCAACAAACACCAACTTTCACCCAAGAAAACAGTGTTCATGTCCCTTAAGGTTATAAAGGTTATAAAGCCAAATCCTGTTCTTTTTTTTCTAAACCCAACCATGTGCGCTTCTTTGCGGTGTAGTACTGATGTACTGTGTTTATTTTGAAAGAGACAATGCATGTAACAGGAAGAACTTGACACGGTGTCCCAGAGCGTCAACAACCAATGTACTCAGGGTACTTTACACGTCATATGTGGACGTGGAAAATCCATGACCAAACGTCAATATGTGACGAAGTTGGAGTGAGAATGTGTTGTAGCAACCTACACTCTGAAACATCTTCAGATGTTTTATGTTGCATTTTCTTTTGCAGGGATTTATCCATGTTAATGCCAAGGCTCGCCTTCCTATGTGCAAACGTTCCGCCAAAACAAGTTTTCTCCAGACACCATTTTGCGAGAGCTCTGTCTTTACATCATTGCAGTTTTAGTTGTCTTGGTCCAGACCTTTGAATCTGCCCACTTCATTGAGTTAACTGGTTTGTCTGGCATTGTGACATGAAACAGAGGTTTCTCGGTTAAAATCAATAGATCCACCAACCATTGTAGAGGTATTAACAATCAGCCAATCAGCACCATGGGTGGGACTAATGCCATTGTCAAGCTGTTGTAACGCTGTGTGCCTGAAACTATGAGGAGTAATAACAAGAAAGGTGACCACTATAGTCAAGACAGACGCTGCTATCGAGGCTGTTCTAAATCAACGCCTTTTTAATATTTCGCCTGCCATCTTTGTTTTTACGTTGCTTCGCTCCACTCTTAAAATTCAAGTGAAATCAGTATGTTGGCATGGCAACACATCAGTTGAGTATTGAGTAATGTTTGATTCAGGCGGATACACTGGTCAAGTGACAATTCTGTCTGATATCAGTCAAATCTTGTAGTGACAGTCAAATGATTCAACAAACATAAGATTCAGAGTTAACTTTTATCTCAATGGCCAAATATTCATGTTTAAAAAGGGCACTGACACCACTGGCCTTTAAATATATCACATGTAATTTATCTGTAAATATACAGAACTATGTCTCTAGGCCCAATAAAACATCCTACATTGTTGTTACCACCCAGTTAAACACGAATTTATGGATCAGTTTAATTTGTTTGCGTATACAAAGATGTATCCAGCCATTTGCCACAGTGACAAAGACAGAGGAGCCATCTTAAATACTGAGCAAGCCATCCAACTGAGATGCTCCACATCATCAGTGATGACCCGCCCACTCTGCCTGTCAGTCACATCAGCAGGAAGAGCACAGCGTACAGAGGAGGGCTGTTAAACCATCCATCCTCTATACTCACTTCACTTCTTTTCAGAGAGCTGCTGACAGACAGCAGCAGAGCGACACTCTCACAGTATCACAGGAACATTCACCTGGAGCTGATTTAGAGTTTCTGACCTACATGTTTTTATCTGAGGGAGAGAAGCCATGTGACCCTGGGAGAAAACCACTAATGAGATACACCAGTGATTAACAAGGTGATTAACATGTGTAAAACAA